TTTCTTGGGATTGCTAGCTAAGAAAGGCTAATTCAAAACATTTGGGTAATACAAGGGTTTCTATTTTTTGATAAAGGAATTATAATAAATTGTTATACAAAATAAATAATATGAATGGATACAAATGACCCCCAAGTTTGAACACAGACTTTTAATTTATATCTAAAAGTTTGCCAGTTCTAGGGGTTGGGGGAGATGGCTCAGTGGAATAAGCATTTCCCTGGCAAGATCAAGGGCCTGAGTTCAATCTCCGGTTCCGCAAATAAAATAAAATAAAATTTTACCAGTTCTAATATCTCAGGCAAGTCAGTTACCTTCCGCCTGCACACTTTCTCACTGTGTAATGGAGACAATGTCATGCCATTAGCTGGTGTACATTAGGGAAATGCAAATTAAAATAATGTTGGGATACTATCTCACTCCAGAAAGAATGGCTATTGTCAAGGAATCAAATAATAACAAAGACTGGCAAGGCTGGGGGCGGGGCTTGCATATTGTTGCTGGGACTGTAAACTAGTACAACCACTTTGGAAATAAGTGTGGAGATGCCTCAGACCCGAAAGCTAGAAATTCCGCTTGCCGCAGCTATTTGCCTTGTGGATGTCTTCCCAGAAGAGTCACTCATCATATTCCAATGAGACATGCATATCCATGTTTACAGCAGCATAAGTGATAATAGCTAAATCTTAGAAACAGCCTATATGCCCATTAACAAATGAACAGATTTTAAAATATGGTGTCTATTCACAATGAAGTACTACTCTGCCACAAAGAAGAAGGAGCTCCAGTCATCTGTACGAAAATGGATGCATAACGGAGACTATAATGTTAAGTGAACTAAATAGACACACAGGTTTGAATACTGCATGGTTTCTCTTATACAAGAAGCTCAAAGTACAAGCAAAGAGCAAAATGAAAGATAACAGGAAGTAGGAAGGTCTTTTTCAAATGAGAAGGGAAACAGGGAAGAAGCAAAAAGGAGGGAAAGAAGGCAAAAGGGATTTACAAAAGAGTGGGCTGGGGGTATACGCTCAGTGGCACAGACCCTGCCTAGTGATTGCAAGGTTGTGAGTTTGATTCCCAGTACCAAAGAGAAACAACAAGAGGGATGGAATTGAAGAAAAGATGGAAGGGGCCGGGGAGAAGCAAGCACAAGGGCCTGAGCTCAATCCCCAGTTCCGAAAAAAAAAAAAAAACAGATGGAAATGAAATTTTGGCAAATGGGAAGAGGAATAAGAGTTGAGGAGGCCAAGAGGGATGCGAGGAAAGGGACAAAGAAAGAATCAAGATGTATATGTCAATGTACTAATTCCCAACAATAAATGTAATTACTACGTACTGCACACATGCAACACATTTTTTAATAATACTCCTTACTTCTTTACAAGGGATGCTATGTGAATTAATTGGTTAGTGTTCTCTAGCATGGCTTCAGAGGCAAATGTTACCGTTAGTGTGCATTGCATCTCTTTGCAGTTATCTGGCATCTTAAAACACTAGGGCTTGGGCTGGGGAGATGGCACAGTGGAATAAGCACTTGCCTGGCAAGCGCAAGGGCCTGAGTTCAATCCCCAGTTCCACCAAAAAAAAAAAAAAAAAAAACCACAACACTAGAGCTGCAAGGCTTCCTCTCCCCTAGAATATTTACAAAAGATTAAACAAGTTCAAGAGGCTTGAAAGAGAAGCATGTGGGATATGTTAGGGTGGAAGAAAGGAGAGATTTGGAATTTGGCACATTTTGTTGCCCATTTCTTGTTACATCAAGTTACATGCTTCTTGAAATTGTGCATTATTTTACTAGGAGAAAAAATAGCCATATAAATCTAGTTCAAAATATACTACATAGCTTTAAGATTCTAGTTTAAATAAAAGTTTACAATAATTGATTTTTAATAACTTAATGGTTATAATAGAAATAAATTTAGAATATAAATCATCAGGACCAGCAAGGTAGTTCAGCGGTCTAAAGCGCCTGCTTGGGCAAGCGCTAGGGGACTGCAGTTCATTCCTGGGCACCACATGCCACCAGCCCTGGCCCCACTGCCCCAGGGTGGGCTGGGCCCGCCACAAAAAAGAATATAAATTACATACAAGGATGATTCTATCTCTAGTTTTGTTTGTGACACTTCAGGTTAATAGCTATCCCTTTCACTTAATTACTAACAGCACCCCTTTTATTGTCACAAGTGAGTCAGTTTAGACAAACAACTATATGATTGCTATGCTTAAATTTTTTTTAATTTTTTGTCTGGCCAGAGTGCTGCTGATCTCAACAGAATTATTTCAATTACCTATCACAAGAGAATGCAGAAATAAGGAAAGGGGATCAAGTTACGTGCTCTACTTTAATAATCACTGAATGAAGATGACCTCAAGAATTTATATAGAAGAGGGGACTTGCGGGTTAGCTCAGTTGTTTAAGCGCCTTCTGGGGCAAACCCAGTAGGCACAGGGGACCACAGTTCGATCCCCAGCTCCCCACGTCTTACCAGACCTGCCCTTAAGGCAGCCTGAGCCAGCCAAAAAATAAATAAATAAATAAGAATTTATATAGAGGAAAATGTATTGCTTCATGAAAATATTAACAGCTGGGTTAATTGAGAAAAAAAAAGTAGCTGGGCTTGGTGGTGCATACATGTGATTCCAGCACATGAGGAGGATGAGGCTGAAGGTTCCTAAATTCAAGTCCAGACTGGGTAACTTAGCAACATAAAGGTTATGTCTCAAAATTTAAAAAAAGAAAGAAAGAAAGAAAGAAAGAAAGAAAGAAAGAAAGAAAGAAAGAGCTTCGACTGTAGCTCAGTAGAAAGACCATGGATTCAATCCTCCCCCCTACCACCACCAGGAGCCCAGGAGATAGCTCAGTAGAATAAGTGCTTGCCTGGAAAGTGTAGGATCCTGAGTTCAATCCCGGGTTCCGTTAAAAAAAAAAAAAATCCTCTCCCACCCAAAAAAAAAGGTCTAAAACTGACAAATATCTGGTATAACAATTGCTTTGCCCAAATAGTTGTCCACTTACTGAAAATTCTTAGGTGGTTTTTATTCTCAGTATTCCTGAATCTAAAAGAATTCCTTAGTTTCCACTTCAAGTTAAAAAAAAATGTTCAATGTGAGGGCTGGAGAGATGGCTCAGCAGAATAAGTGCTTGCCTGGCAAGCACAAAAGCCTGAGTTCAATCTCTGGTTCCACCAAAAAAAAAAAAAAAAAAAAAAAAGAAAGAAAGAAAGAAAGAAAAAAAAACATCCAATGTGTTTCAGCCATACCCAGACAGCCCGTGCCTTGTGGCCCATCCTCTCTTACCTCTTCACACAGTTCAGGCTTTTCCATTTTAAAAGCATCCTAATCCCATCCTCAGTTCTTCCTCCTCCTCCTCCTCCTCCTCCTCCTCCTCCTCCTCCTTCTCATGCATCCATGGGCTCAGTTCTGACCCCTGTCTCACAAGCAATTGTAACCCTATACAGTAGTGATTTCATGAGTTTCAGCTCAATAGTATAAAATAAGTGTAATTCATCCCTTCTGAATGGCCCACATAGCCCAATTTTGCAAAGAGCACTTAGGTCTTACTCCATAGCTCATTGGTGTCCATCAGATCTCCATTTATGGTCAGGGTATTCTCATGGTCTCATTACTGATTTTGAATTAATACTTCTATCTCGAGATGGAACCTTGAACATCCTGCAGGAGATGAAAGTCCTGAGACATGAGTTTTGTAAAGCCAATTTCTCCATGCTGATTTGCAAATACCGTGTATTCCCAGATTTTGTATGCCTAGGAACAGCATTATCCCCATACAGACTTTCAAGATAAATACAACCTTACCATCAATCTTTTATCTCATATATCATGAACTGCCCACTGCCTGGATTTCCTCTCCTACTAATGACTGTTTTAAAAGCCTGAGTGCAACTACAGTCTCACTCCTTCTGCCAGGTCAGCTCAGGTGGCATGCTCAGATTTGAGTCTATTCTGACATATCACTGAGAATTTTCACATTGGTATTCTCATTTTACAACTATACCTAATGAATTAATTATTACACCAGCAGGTTCTCAGTAAGAAAACAAATACTCGATTGTAAAATAGTCTCAGCGTGTGACAGATTATTAGGATACTTGAAATTTGCTTATGAATATCCAATTTACATAGGTCCCTTGGAAGTTACTAAAATTTCAAGATAAAATAAAATTCTAAAATTCCATAGTAAAAATTTATATATACAGATTAATTGATTGAACTTATGTGTGAAATAAAATCATGGGTGTGTGAGCAAAAAATTTTTAAAAATTTTTTTAAAATTCACAAATAGCAAATACTTCATGAATAAGTAAAGTTAGAGTAATATAATTATTTTCTTTTTGAAACATTGATGTTGCATTTTAAAAGGAAGATAATGTTATAATATTTATCATAATACTTTGCAAGTATGACGAAAAATTCTATAGTTTTCAATGCCTCCTTTTAAACAAGCTCTTCCTTAATCAAATCTTAGTCTAGCTTTACATTGACTTTAGAACATGCCCCCTTTCACATGCACATGTGTGTTTACTAGAGGGCTCAAAAGGTTAACAGCCGTTATAGATCATTTTACACTAACAGTTTGGTCTAATGGATAAGAATTCAATCAACAATCTTAATATCTTCTTGTTAGCTCTATAACCCTGGCAAACCACTTAGAATCTATAACTTCTGTTTTTCTTTCCCAATGAATAATAATAATTGTTGAATTAGGAAAATATCTATCAAGTGTATTTATATTAAGAGCCTTCAGTGAAAAATGAGAAATAAATATAAATTAATATATTATAGGGACCCAGTTCTTGGATTATACCTGAGAGTACTGGCTATGTAATTTAGATTATTAATATTTTAAAATACTTTGGTAAGTATCAAAACATTTTGACAAATTTTCAATGAGAAGCATAGTATACCACACAAAAATAGATAATTCTTTACAAGGACTAAAGCTAAGATTCGCAATCATCAGAAAAGAATTTCCACGCTTGCTTTGGCAGCACAAATACTGAAATTGGAATGATACAGAGAGGGTTAGCAGGCCCCTGCGCAAGGATGACACGCAAACCCGTGAGGCATCCCATATTTTTATGTGTAAACACCGTATTGTCTCCCTAGTGTAAGAACCTGAAAGAATAAATAAAATCTGAAAGATGCAATAGACAGAGTAAAAGGGAAACAAATTGAACATAAGGCACAAACAATTGAGTGAAGGAAAAGAGAAAAGTAAAAACAAAGGAGAAAAAAAATCATGTAAGTATATAGGCAGGATAGCTAAGAAGATTGCACTCCTAATTGCTATCAGTTTTTTGAAGGTAGCAGTTAATGCTTAAAGTTTTTACTTTGATTAATTTGATATACTAGAATCTGTAATCTAAGCAACTACATTGAAGACAGCAATGCACAATATACCAACCACTGTTGAATACCTTGCATCTTGGTTTTTTTTCCTCCTGGTTTTATTTTTTTAATGTGTCATTTCTAATTTCTCATCCATTAGTTTTATATTCTAAAATAATTTTTTTTGGTGGAACCAGGGATCGAACTCAGGCCCCTGCACTTGCCAGGGAAGTGCTTATTCCACTGAGCCATCTCCCCAGCCCCTCTAAAATAAATTTTAAAAAATAAAAAGAATGAGAAAAAAATGCCAAGGTTTATGGAAAGGAGGAGTTCTTATGTTAGCTGTTTGGCCAATCTGACATGCCTGTATTTGCTACTCTGAGCAACAAATTTGATAATAACAACATGTGATATATCAACCACTGATAATCTCCTGTTCTTGTTTTGAAATTCTGTACCATTTTTATTGTCTTCTGGTGCTTTGTTTTTGTCTTTATTCTTGTTATTTGTTCTTGGGTTTTTTTTTTCCTCTTTAAAATAAAAGAATTTCCTTAAAGAAATTTTAGTTCTAAAATGTATGACAGTAATTCCAAGTATTCATCAACTGTACTGACAGACTTAAAAATTCCTTTTTCACAGGTTATTGAAGAAATAGTGAAGTAAAGATTAATTATTAGCATTCAACTGTTTAAAAAGTGTACTTTCATGCTGTTAAAAGAATGAATGGAGATCTATTATGACTGTAGCAAAAGTGTTACTCACCATGGGGATTTTGCTATTAACATAGGAAATGAATCATTAAAGATATTAAAATTAAGTGGTAATGTTTTTCAACCATTTAAATAAAAGTCTTTGTTCTATATAATAAAACTGGCTTTTGTTAACTTCTTTAATATGGAATGTTTTCCAAGATTTTCTTGATAGTAACATTTCAGATGGCTTGAAAAATTTTAAATCCCCAGATTCTAATTTCTGTCTTATGGAGGCAGTGGTGGAGAGGTATTAAGTTCAAGTAATTTAGCAATGCTTGCAATCTGATCCACGAGGATTCTATTCCAGCCATAAACAATATGCCTACTATAGCACTGTCTACCAGCTACTTATTTCAAGTTTGGCAGATTACAGCAGCCCCTCTTTGGAGGTTTCATTTTCCAAGATTCCAGTTGTCCTCAGTAAACCACCATCTGAAAACATCAAATGGAAAATTATAGAAACAAATGATTCACCAGTTTTGAATTGCACGCCATTATCAGTACCATGACATCCTGTGCCCTCTAGCTCTCTCCTACTCCCGACACAAGCACCCTTCTGTCCATGGTATAGTTACGCTATGCAATGCCTGCCCGTTAGTTACTGAGTGGCTGCCTCAGATCAGCTGCAGTGGTATAACAGCGCTCGGGTTCAGATGTCCTTCTGTTGGGGCCTCAAGCCCCTCCACGGTGCCACTGCCACTCTGTGCACTTCATTTCAATCTTGTAGGCATTGCATCATTGCATGTTATAACAAGAAGAGCTCTGTAAAATATTTTGCAAGAGACTACATTCACATAACTTTTATTTTAGTATATTATTGTCTTGTAAATATTATTATCCGTCTCTCACTGTGCCTAATTTGCAAATCAATCCTTTTTATAGATATTATATATAGAGAAATACAATATATAAAGAATCTAGTACTAAGCAAAATTTCAGGAATCTCTACTGGAGATCTTAGAACATATCAGCCATGGACAAGAGGGTATTAATTATATTTATACTCAAAGGTGTCTGCTGCTGAATTGTTAGCTTTCTTTTCTTTTTTTTCTTTAATGTATTTAGTACAGGGTCTCACTACACAGATCGGACTCATAGTGATCCTCCCACTTTCAGCCTCCCACACACTGGGATTACAGGCATGCACTACCATGCCCAGTCTCAGTCACTGTCTCAGCATGCCCTGGGAGCGTGGCCAGCTCAGCATGCCAGAGATGGAACCTGGTCCCTGCATCTGCCTAAGCAGGCACTTTATCTGCTGAGCTATCTGGCTGGCCCTAGCTTTCTTAATATATGTGTTAAATTACATGTAGGGAACTTAGTAAAATATAAAACTTATGATAATGTATTAGTCAGCTTGCTGGTGCAAAATAGCTTATCTTAGCACCTGCAATTTATTTATTTATTTATTTTACCATTTATTTATTTGTGTCTGTATTTAGTACGGGTCTTGCTACACAGCTCAGACTCGTAGTGATCCTCCTGTGTCAGCCTCCCCAGCACTGGGATTACAGGCGTTCCCAACCATCCCCCGTTTTGGTGGCCTGTTTGGCACAGGGTCAGCATGGCAGGCAGTACTGGGAATCAAACCTGCATCCTTGTACTCACCAAGCAGGTATTGAAACAACTTAGCTATCTCCACAGCCCCAACACTTGCAATTTAAAGTTTAATTTTCCTTATAGTTTCAGAGGGTTCAGTCCATGGTTGCTGGCTCCAAGGCAGGACCATCATGGAAGAGAAGTAGAGTGGAGCAAAGATGTTCATCTCATGAAAGGTGGGAAGCAGAGCAGAAGGCAAGAAGGCCATGAGAGGGGCTGGGGAGATGGCTCAGTAGAATAAGC